GTAGTAGTAGTAGTAGTAGTGAATATAAAGCAGGCGCATCACGGGGTTGCATGCTTGCTTGCGCACATTTTTTCGCTACTTTTTTTATGCTCTACTCCTCACTTGTCCTCGTAAATTTTTTCGAATATTTCTTTGGCAAATTTCTTCTTAGTAAACTTTCGCTGTGTGCTTTTTTGCCTTTCTCCTTTGAATTCACTCCTGCGTTTTCTTTGCACTTTTTAAACTTTACTGCGGCACATTTCACTGCACTTCATAGTTGGCTGTCGCCTATCTTTGACATTTTTTTCCTTTTAAATGATTTTCACTTTCTTTGCATGCGTTCGTTGGAAAATTGCGATTTAACTTCCGCCCTTTTGTTTGCCTACAAAAAAAAACAAAAAAAACCAAGAAATAAAATAGGCTAAATAAAAGGCAGTTGAGCAGCTCAAGCGATGAATATTCAACACACAACTTTATGTTCGGAGGGCTCAGCGTACCAGTTCGCATACACATGTAACTTTTTGTATGCCCATTGTTGTCATTGAGTCTCTCTGCTCGCTTAGGGTGTGTACATATATTTCCTGTAACTGTACCTTTGGCTGTAATGTTCGTAACAGGCGCACAAAAGCTGGCAAACAGCTTTTTATTGCATATTGGCATACGAAGACAGATGGTTGAGGCTTAGTAGCGGGGAGCTTGTGTGCGATTTTTATCCTAGTCATTTCGCACACAGGAAATTCTTCCAATTGGTACATCGCTGGAACTAGTAAGCCAGCAATAACTAGTTATATAAAACTAACTGCTTTCAAGGATAAAACATCGCCTTGAATTGTTCGACCTAGTTGGCTACTAGTTTGAGAGTAGCCTTTTGAGTCTCCGAGTGCCTAAGCCAAAGATTTGAGCTTGCAATTCACTTTAGAACTAGTAACAGACTAGTTACATATGAGTATTTCCAATAATGTGTTAATATTTTTAAGATAAACTATATTTTCTTCATAAAGATATTTTATACGTGCATTGTGGAGGTATTCTCAAGATTTAGATGCCAACTCAACCCATTCACGCAGTTTTGCAACTTGTAAACAATTTATGGTTCTAAACAGATACATATGCACATTTATGTATAAATAACCAGGGCTCGAAAATAACTCCTAACCGAAAAACCATATTGTTTTTTCTCGGACACTTATCATATTGCGCAGTCACATAAAGGTTTCTCTCGGAAATTTATATTTCAATTCAAGAAATAAATCTCCATTACTGAGAGTTATATTTCAATTCTGGAAATAAATCTCCTTCGCTGAGATTTACCTAGGAGACTTCTCTGTAATAGTTGCTGGTTTTCGGTGATTAAGTGAGAAGAATAATATTGGTCGAGTAGTGGGTTATTTTTATACGGGTTGGCTGTCATCTTTATCCGGCTACCCGGATAGTCGGTTTTAGTTGGCCGTGGACTCGGGTTGTGGGTTATCTTTATACGGGTACCCTGATATGGGGTTATCTTTATCCGGGGAGTGAATTGTCCAACCTGCCTGCATAGTTTAGTTGGCCGATTACCCGGGTAGGTGGTTATCTTTATCCAGATAACCATCTATTCGGGTACTTGGATAGCGGTTTATTTTTGTTCAGGCACACGGATACATAGTTATCTTTATCCGGGTACTTGGATAGAGGGTTATATTTGTCGGCGACCGGGTAGTGGGTTATCGTTACACGGGTACCTGTATGCAGGATTAGTTTTTACCAAGTACCCGGGTAGGCGGTTATCGTCACACAGATACCTGATACCAGATTATATGTGAGAGATGCCCCGGATAAGGGTTTTCTTTATCCGAGTACCCGGGTAGGAGTAGATTTTATCTGTGCACTTGGGTAGTGTGTTGTTCTTTTCCGCGCAACCGGGTAGAGGTTAATATGTGTATGCATATCCGGGTATCTGAGTAGCGGGTTATCTTTAACCCGTTATCCGTTTAGAGGGTAATATTTATCCGGCGGGTTGCGGGTTACTTTTATCCGGGTACGCGGGTAAGAGGTTTTATTTATTCGGCTACCCAGATAGGGGAAATCTTGATCCAGGCAGTGAACTGCCCAACCTGCCTGAAATAATATATCAAGAATCAAGTACAAGTTAAGTTGTTACATGGGAAATGTACGTATAACTACAACCGGAGGAGATTTAATTTTATTTCTCATTAATATTCCTCCTTGACTGAGAAGAATTTTTATTTTTCATTTACATTTCGCCTTGACTGAGAAAAATTTTTATTTCGCTTCGGTAAAGGTTTCCCTCTGAGAGCAACCAATAAAACATTGTTAAAAAGTTTCGGTTAACCTCCGACTGCTACTTTATTGCTCCTTCGATAAGAGCTATTATGCGAGCATTTTAATTGGTTAATAGTTATCTTCGAGCTCTGTTAAGAATGTGTTTATGACAATTTTCGCAGCATATTAGTAAGCAAATGACTAGTTCCTAACTAGTTACGAACTAGTATTTTTAGGGCCAGCGCATTCAAAATGCCAATACATTCAACAGCTTTCAGTTGGCCTTATTGCTTATTTAGTCACAGGCTTCAGCCGAATGCTTTCTCATACTTCTTGAACTATTTAGTCCCTCGTTTCTAAAAGTGCTTCAAAACCAGAAATTCCGAATGCTACAACTGTATGCATTTACACGTACATATACATACATGGGACTGCGTTGCTGTGCGCTAATATTTACAATCCAAGCTACATACTAAGTCGGCACAGATACCATTAGCATCCTTTTGTGAGCTGCAAATCTATGTCACTCATACGCACCGTACGACCTACAATCTACGTACATACATACATATGTTTGGATGACGACCAATGACTCTGCCAACTGTCATGTGCAGCGCGAAACGAGTGTGACATAAGAATTTATAGTTTTTGGCAAAATAGACTAAATGACTTTAGCAGTTTTAGCTGTCTAAGTACAAATAATAATAATACACTTGTTTCAACGATTCGTACTTTAGCTATTAAATTACTATATCTCCCATTGGTACAAAAAATCTACAGTTTTTTTTTCTGACAGATTTATAATCTGCTACATCAAAAATTATTAAGTTAGGTTATGTCATTTACCTTTTATTAGCCGCGCGCACATCATTTGCCTCAGTCTATGTGACAAGCGCGAGGATAAGTGCTGAGACGCACAGCTGGAGGACTTTGGGCGGGCCGTCAAGTAGTGCCTACGCAAGTCAACTCAATCTTTGGGGTATAAATTGCACACATACATACATATGTATATGTGTACGTACATAAATACATGTTTGCCCCATTCACACTTGACATTTCTAGTTGGGTGCGATGGCCCTACGGCTGCTAGAGACTGACTACTACATATTGGCTGGCTGCTGACTGTCGGATGCTGACTGCTCCCTCTGATGAGCATATTTTTGTGCATTTCACTTGAAAATCCGCATAAACAACACGCCGCCTACTAAGCAATGCACGCTTTCCATATATTCCTCACCATACATACATACATACATAGTAGTCATAGTTAGCCGCCTGCATTTGAATTGATTTGCTAAGCAGCTGCTTTGTCTGTCACAAAAAGCTGTAAATGCGTGTCGCAAAGCGCATAGCTCAGCAAATATGCAGCATTCGCCAGTGTGGGTAACTGATATCAAACTTGTTCTTTCTTTCGTTTTTGTGTGCTGGAGATGCATTTAGCCAACTTTTATCTATGTATCCTCTATTTGCCCACACAGCAGCAAAAACAAAAAAAAATGTTTGTGTGCTGCAATGTCAGTGGCAATGAAAAAGTTAATGCATATAAAAAATCAACGAATGACTCTATGCAAACTACGTGTAACTATTTGACGTATGCAGCAGCAGCTGGAAGGGTTGTAAAAGTGAAAATTTTCTGGTTTGACACTAATGTCAATATGAAGGTGAGTGATGTCAATAATGATGTTAGTTGATACACACATCTTTTCAGGGTTATTATGTTTGCTTTGACAGTGGCATTGAGCCGGAGATTTTAAAGCGCTTTAATATTTTTTTTTTTTTTTGAATGCGGATGGCAAATGTGACATTAATATAATAGAATGTTTTTTTTTAAAGAGATATGCAGTCGACATTGCGCTTTTGTTAACTTTTGCCTTCATTTTGCATATTTCCTAAGTTCGTAAGCAGAGATACACTTGAAAAAGTTTAAAAATTGAAGCGGTAAAACTTTAAATTTTTTTTTTTACAATTTTCTGATAATTATTTTGATTCAATATTTTATTAACAGTGGAGGAATCGATATCGTAATCATTAATGCTTACTTTATCGATATTTTAGCGTTATCATTAACGAAATTGTTATCGATATTTTGCCTATAAACTAAATATTTCTCTCATTTTTGAATTTTATCGCTATCGATATGGATATTCTTGTTTCTATCATTATTATTATCGATATTATTATTGTTATCGATTTCTAGGTTTCAAAAAAACATCTTTTAGTATATAAAAAATTTTAAGGTATCGATAACATTAACAAAATAGATGGTGACTTTTATCGGTATTGCTTTATGAGCGTCCGGTAGTACCATGTTATCGATATGCCGTCGATATAGTAAATTATCGAAATAGTAATTCATATCGTTATCGATTTATAAACCTACTCGCAATGCTAACTGTTATCGAATTTTTTACGTACAAAATATGTACATATATGTTGTTTTATCTTTTGATTTTTTATCGATATCTGTTTAGATTTTTATCCCTACTGTCTTTTCCTAAGCATTTATCTTAAGACCATCATTTTAGATATCAATAAAAAATACAAGCTTTCGATAAAATTTACTGGTTACTGGTATCGCCTTAAAGCGTATTCAAAATTTTAATTTTACCGTGGTTATGTATGTATTTTTTGATTGCATAAAGCTCAAAGCTTTTATGATTTTAGTCGAAATCTGCACCAAAGCACACCTTTTTTTTATTAAAATAATATCTACTGTATCTTTTTAGAATAAGAATTAGATTTAAAATTGATCAACTTACATCTGTCATCTTCATCGAGGAATATGTAACTTATTAATATGGCGCCTAAAATACCAAGTAACTGAAAGAAAAAGAGAAACAAATATGAGAAGCGGTATTTGATATTTTTTTTTTTTATTTAAGATAAGTAATTTTTTTGATATACATACATAATATGTACATAAAACTTGTAGGAGCGAAAATAGGTTTTTTGCTTTTAGATCAAATTTAAATTAATCTTTTTGTACTAAAACTTTTTATTGTTTACTTTTTTTATTGGACTTACCGCTAAAGCACATTGCACACCCGATTGTACTACTTCGACTATAGTATAATCTAATAAGCAATCATCCACACGTTCCGGACGTATGGGACGAAATGGATCGTCTGAGGTGATATTCACTGGATATGTTGGCTTGCAACCATAACCGTTCACCTCGAACCAGGAGACGCTACCGGTGCCCAAATTGAGCAGATCGCTGTCCTGTGGGCAGAGAAGTGTGAAAGAAAAATAAATGGAATGTGTAAGAAAAATTTTACATATGTATGTAGGTAGGTACATATGGGCAGTAAAAAAGTATGTAAAGGCAAATTCTAGGAGATCATTTCAATATGAATATCGTCAATCATCAATATGAAAGGAAAGTCTTATTTTTGGAAAAATGTGTTTTTAAATATTTGTTTAGCTGCTTTTAATTACGAAAATCCAAAGCCAAATTTTCTCTCTTTAGCAGACCCGTAATTATTTCATATATAAATGTTTACTTCTGCAAATTTTCACATTTTTGAAATAGGGCCTTTTGCATTGATGTTGACGGTTTAAACATTTTTTTCTAATAAATCATTAATAATATAGATAATAAAAACATGCAATGCTCAAATTTTAAAACAAAAAATCTTAAAAAAAATATTCACATACCCGATCCAATATGCCTACATTCAGGTAAAAGCATATCAGAAACGCATTCCAACCAATCCAAATGAAGCTCCATACTAAATACTGAAAGAGAGAAGAAATTTGAAACAAAGTTGAAGTTTTATTTATTAACTGTTAAAAAATAATTTGTATTGTACGTACATATATCAATTTTGTTTAATCGGTATATATATAAATATGTATATATTAAATAAATATGTAAATTAAACAAGTTTTATTTTTCCACTATGTACATTCTTGTTCTACTTTTTGCTGCAATCTCATTCAAAATGTGTCAATACGGAGTTCATAATAAAGCAATAAAAAAATTTTGTGCATAAAACCAAACAACTTATGCCACTTCTTATCGCTAAGCACCAATAGTTGAACTGCAATGCAGTAAATCGTTGTTTGCCAATCGACACCCTGGCGTATGCGTAATCTCTATAAGGGCGGGGGAATACCTACATAAATCATTTTATCAGCAAAAAAGCATACTTAGCGATAAGCTTTATTGCTCTTTTTTATTAATTTTGTGTTTGAGAAAAAGCGTACCGTAATCGTTTTGTTTGGCATAATGCATAATGTCGAAAATCATATTTCCTTTCATACATATATACATACATTCATACGTTGAGACCGATATTGATAAGATAAGAGTAAAAAACCAACAAAAATATGAAGGGGGAAAACGAAAAGCAGAGGAGGCGCCATAAAATGGGAAGCACCGCAAGTACAGTTTTTATAGTAATTAAGGGCAGATGCTATTACACATATTCATATCTATACAGCTGTGACAGATGTGCGCTGATACGTAATGTAGCAGGGGAAGCGAATGATATCATTACACGCATACTAAGTACATATGGGGCACTCCAACGGGAAGGGTGGGGCATTTTAACTCATTTTTGATCAATCTTTAAGTAATTTCCCTTTAACCATTAATTTTAAAAGTTTCAAAATGTTAACCTATAAAATTTACACAGAAAATAGACGGAACAACGATGCGCAGCGGTCAATAAATGGAACCTAATGTTCATAATTCACTGGAGCCTTCCTCTCAACTAATTTGATGACTTTTTTTTTGTAATGAAAGCTACTGAAATTTGCAACAGACCAGTTGAGCCCAATTTTCGAATTTTTACTTACTTTTATTAAATTTTTTAGTGCAAAGTGCAGAAAAACTGCCAATTTTGACGAAAATCGATTCTACCGTTCCAGCTAATAAAAGTTTCATAATAAAAACTAGTTACAACCAATTGTAGGGATCTCCCAAAATGGAAAAAAAATAAAAAGTAATAATTTGAGATTTTATAAAAAATGTTTCACCGAAAGTATTTTTTTTGTTTTTGGTTTTTATAAAAAATTTGAGTATGCAGTTTTATAGATCGCTCATTTAAGTAGAATAAAGTGACTGCACTTTTGACTAAAAAATTTATTATAAACAAATACAAAATCAAAAATTGGGCCCAACTAGTATCATGCACATTTTATTAGCTTTCATTAAAAAAAAAAAATATAATAAAATTGGTTGAAAAATTAAGGCTCCAATGAATTATAAAGATTAAATTCCATTTATTGAGCACTGTGCGATTGAGCACTGCAAAAATTTCCGCCGCTGTGGTGTAGTGGTTAGTAATGCGCACTAGCATTCCGAAGGATCTGGGTTCAAGCCCAGTTCAACGCAACATCAAAAAAAATAAAAAAAGGGTTTTTTCTAATAGCAGTCGCCTCTCGACAGGCAATGGAAAAACCTCCGAGGGTATTTCTGCGTAAGCGCCAATCTATTATTTTTATTATAAATATTTCCATCATAGCGCCTTTCTAGTATGTAGCTAAAATAATAGTAAGGTACATTTTAAGTTTTAATGGCATTATTATATTTTACGGTTTAAGAAAAATACTCTTTTATCCACTATTGAGGATACATAGTTCGCGAGTAAAACCCTGGACTATACTGGTTTAATATGAGTATTTATTATACTTTTAATAAAGGAACCTTATTTAAACAATGGGAAGCTTACTTGTTTGAAAGTTAAGTTAACAAAAAAGTTTGCTGCGACGGCCAGCACTTTCAATAAGCATTTCTTTTAAAGTTGACAACTTCTTGCCAAAAATAAATTATTAAATAAATTAAAACATATAAAATACTATAGAAGTGTTCACGCAATGTAACAATTTTTCCTTATGAAAAATACTGGTACTAAAAATCAGGGACGAAAAATCGTTTCATTAAGAACCGTGATTGTTAATTTTAAGACAACGGAAAGCTGGTTCATTTCAACTTCCATATCGTTTATCATTTTCTGTGCAGCAAAAGTTCTTATCTTAAGTCTTTCGTTTAATTAATTTGCATGATTATCTTTCTGCTCTTTTTTTGATTGATTTTAATACTCAAACATCTCAAACTAAAGCAACACTATGACAAAATGCTTGTTCTCGCTTCAGTTTTTCGCAAATGGTTCAGAGAAGATTTGTTCTCGTATCTTTCTCTGTCAGAAAGTACCTGACACTTTAATTCTAAAATTGTTCTTAAAGAGAAAGTTCTTTGGATTTTTTTCTCATTTTGCTCTTTACCAGTACGTTCCGGATACTTTTATGCCCAGTTTGTTCTCTTCGAAATGTTACCGCAGGTATTGTTCGTACTTTGTTCTCTTTGGAAACGTTTCACAGGGTTTTGTGAGAACATTCTCGGCAGTTTTGTTCTCTCTTTCGTTTTAGTGAAAACACTCCCGAAGGTTTTGTTCTCATTTTAGTTTTAGCTTTTAAGCGTTCTAGGGAACAAAACTGCGAAAACGAAATTAAGTTTCGATCATACTTTTTGTTCTAGGTCCCTACTAAAAATTTGGAAAATTAATTTTCGGTACTTTCGGTAAAATATTCTCGTGTACTAACAGAACTCTGGTTAAGAATACATCTAATTTTTTTAGCCCAATTCTACTAGTCCCATGGTGATAACAGGGAGCCTCTATCTTATGCAAACCATTTATAAAATGTATGATGTGACCAGCTGTGATTTAATTTCCGGCATCCTCTTTTTAGGCGTTATTTTGTTTAGATATGCACAGTCTATTTTATTATTTATTTGCATTGTTTGAACGAGGCTAATCGAAAAAGCAAAAGGCGCGTTTATCAGAGTTGAAGCAGGGCTCATATAAACTCTCTTTGTTATTATTTATCAAGCGGTTGCTTGTTATGGTTGCCTTTAGTGCTACTAATGCGCTCTTATTCATATCTACATAAAAATTTAAAAATAAATACGCATATGATAAGAAAAATTGATAAACCCGTGCAGTGCAATAATATAACTTTGTTGTTTTTTTGTTCGACAGCTACACAATCAGTCTTTTTTAGTTTAGTTGCTTTCATTTATCAGTGGGCACTTCAATTGCCTTCTGCAAATATTTCATAAAATTTATTTATTTAGTTTTATTGTGTAAATTCATATGAAGTATGTATGTACGTATGCAAATTTAATTATCGATGGTCCTCTGGAATAGCGACACAATGCAAAATTCAAAAAATAAAAACTCTTATAATTTTTTATTTTATTTATTTTTTTTTAAGATAAGTGAGACAAAAACATATATGCCTATTTACATATACACATACACATTTCGACATATACACACATTTAGGAACACTCGAATACAATATAAACAACTAGCAATTACCCGGCGTGCTTCGCTGCGCCTTAAATGTATTTTTGTGTTGTAACTCTCCCCCTAAGCTCTTATGGCCTCATTTACAAAATATTTTTAAAGAACTTTATGAAGTTAGATTTAAAAAAATCGATCTATGAAGCATTGTTTATTTTTTTTTTGAGTTAATATATTTTCGAAGGTAATTAGAAAATATGTAAAGAACCGACTTTCTCTTGGAAATTTAATTTATAATCTTATAACTGG